CAAAGAATTAAGACTTAGTGTTATAAGATTATTTAATTTAATTGGAATTAATGGATGTACATACGTCGAATTTTTATCTTTTGTTGGCTAATTGGTAGTTGTTTTTGAAAACTCCCTCGCATTTTGCCGTTTTGGGTCTTTTGATCAATTGTTTTTCCATGTAAAGACACTATGTATAATCGCTTCTAGCACATCAATGAAATCATTTTATGATGAGAAGCAACATCTTTTTTTGCTTGAGATCCAAATATTTTGAAGGATTTAAAAATGAAGCCGCTAAAGTAGAAGAGAATACAATGTCACTTTCTTCCTTATGTCCGTTGCCACTAATCTTGATCTACTCCAATCCCCACGAGCAAATAATACTTTCAATTCATCTTTTAAGTTATAAAGACATTGCAAAGGAATGTCATTGTATATCTAGAAACCTTAGGTTTCACTAGGTTTCTACCATTTAACTTCTATCACATTGCGTCGGGAACTTTTCCATGATAATAGATTGAAAGTAGTGACACGTCTAGCTGTTCCAATGGTAGACTTAAATTTGGGCAGCTTTCCAATATCTTCCAACAAGAGGCCAATGCAATGTGCATCACAAGGAGCCCTAAACAGCAACATCTTCTTTTGCTTACGATCCAAGTATTTTGAAGGATTTAAAAATGAAGCCTCTAAAGTAGAAGAGAATACAATGTCACGTTCTTCCTTGTGTCCGTTGCCACTAATCTTGATCTACTCCAATCCCCACGAGCAAATAATACTTTCAATTCATCTTTTAAGTTATAAAGACATTGCAAAGGAATACCGTTACATATCTAGTAACCTTAGGTTTCACAAGGTTTCTGCCATTTAACTTTTATCGCATTGCGTCGAGAACCTTTCCATGATAATATATTTAAAGTAGTGACACGTCTAGCTGTTCCAATGGTAGATTTAAAGTTGGGCAGCTTTCCAATATCCTCCAACATGAGGTCAATGCAATGTGCATCACAAGGAGTCCTAAACAGTGTGTATTCAAACCTGTAGCCTTTTGCTTGCCGCTTTGTAATTAAAAGTTGTCTATTACAATATGAGTGGCTCTGTTCTTATTGATTTTGTCAATGTTTTCTCAAGTAAGCCAGCTACAAAGTTGCATCTTGGGATTCATGAGACGCATCGACAGAATCCATGAAAATGTGCTCTCTGGATTATCACAAAAAACTTTATTTGTCCATGAATCTGACATTAATGTACACCCATCTTCTTTCATTCCAAGAAGTTTCATGTTTTTCTCTAAGCTTCTGTCTCTTTTTTTGCTCTTTCAAGAAGGGGTACCCGCAATTCATGATAACTCAAAAGTTTTTGCTTAAGCTTCCTTGTCTCCTTTTTTGCTTTCCATACTCCCTAATTGACTCAATCATCATAACTTTGTAACTCTTTTAATTTGCTGCATTGAAAGGAATTTTGTTCTCAATTACTATTGTTGTTTGAGTTCTATTGACTCGAGTACAATGTAGTATCTATTTTTGCTTTCTCAACCTAATAGTGACGCACAAGGAGCCAATGCCTATGCCTCCGCTAGGACTCGAGCCTGTGTGAGCTTCCCCCTGAATCTGGGAGAGTGGGCTTTTTACCAGTCAGGCCAATGGAGAAGCTCTGTTTCTCAATTATTACTGTTGTTATTAATATTAATATTATAACTATTATTATTATTATTGTTATTGTTTTTTTAAACCGAAAGTACTAGATTTTATTCACCACCAGGCACCAACCTGTGTAATCAAACAAGCAATTCTAGCATATCAACACTGCATGGAGTTTCACAGCAGCAACAACACTATCAACCTGCATCTCCTTATTATGCATCTTCCCATTCCTAGCTTTCCAGTTTCCACACATAATATACAGCAGCAGCCCAAACCAACAGAAAAGCCTCTCTTTTCCCCATAGGCTTGATCCTGTTGATGTTCTTCCTAATTTCATTCATATCTGACGCTTGGAAACTAACCCCCATCCATTGGAATAGTATCTGATACACCTTAGCAACAAATGGGTAAAGGCAAAACAAGTGGTTGATGTCCTCGGCCCCAATCTGGCAGAGAATACAAGTAACATCAATATTAAGGAAACTGCTCAATTTAACCTTAGTAAGGAGTTTACCCTTCATAGTCAGCCTCATAATGAACTGGCTTTTAGGAATAAAGCACCTATTCCAGACCCAGTTCTTCCCCACGGGAGCTTCATCGTTTCTTAGTAGCCATCTGTACCCCTCTTGGATGTTGTAATCCCCATGATTAGGGATATCCTTATAAAGGTCCCTAACTTTGATCATTTGTTTCCAATAGAAACAGCAGTTAGGTTTAGGGCTATATTGCCAGATTGATTTATTTTTCAGATACCTTGTATGAATCTACTACACCCAAAGTATGTCCTTTTTCCTATCAATATCCCAATTTAGCTTCATGATAGAGGCCTTTGTTCCACAGTGTCAGTGTCATCGTCTATCCCTTAAATTAGTTGCAAGTCATCGCGTATCCCTTAAATTAAAAGCCATACCTCAGTCAGTCTTCATACCCCCGTCACGCTCTCTCTTGCTGCTGCCTCTTGAAGAGCCCTCCGCTCTTGCCGAACTCGGCATATACCACCCCCGTTGCGTTTCTCACTCTCTCTGGTCACTTTCTCTCCAATATGTTTTTATTTTTTCCAGTAAAATAACTTTCGACCCATACAATTTAATCAGTGCCTTAATTTTATGTTTCATGCTTTATATTTACAGTACTTTTTGTAAGGATAATTACAGTACTTTATTATGGAGTACTATTGTAATGATTTTTTCCCAATTCCTCTTCATAGTACAGTGAATGTACAAATAAAAGAATTCGTTCTTCCCCTTAGTGCTTTGTTATTTTGTAAAAATGTTTTATGATTAAATTTTTATATATATTTTGTTATTTGTATTCCATTTTTCATATTCTGGCATGTTTATATTTATTTTTAAAACATGTGTATTTGAATTGATTTAGACAGTACACTTATGGCAGAACGGTTGAACAAGAGATTGATCCTAATGACCCTAATCGAAAGGCCAAATCAAATGACTCAATGTGGCAATATGGTTTTTGGCCGAACTTGGCCAATAAATATATGTCCATATATTTATTAAGTGTTACTAATGTATAACATTTCTCATGGCCGAATTTGGGGTTTTTTCACTTTCCTTCTCCTTACCTGTTCTTTCGTCTCTCTCTCTCCCCCCTGCATCTGTTTCTTTTTTCTTCTTCCTTTCTATTTCTCTATTTTCTTCTCTCCCTCTCCTTGTGCATTTGTCCTTACCTTCTTTTTCTTCATATTTCTTTTTTTCCTCTTCTATTCCTCATCTTCGTCCTCTTTTTTCTTCTCCCTTTTATCCTCCTATTTTTCTTATTCTTCCTATTTCTTCTTCGTCTTCTTCTAATCTTCTTCTTTCAAATTCTTTTTCTTCTTCCTCTTCTATTTTTCTTCTATCTCTTCGTTTTTCTTCTTTCTGTTCCATCTCTCCATCTATCTCCCCTTTCCCCTCCCCAAAAAAACAAGGTGAAGGAAACTCTCATCCATTCCTTCCCATTCCCTCCACTCCCCCCAACCAAACAAGCCCTTAGTGTTAGTGTTCCTGTTGTTGCTGTTGCTATAACGGTTCTTGTTACCATTACTGTTAATTTTATTATTTTTATCATCATCATTATTATCAGTTTTATTATTATTATTATTACCCCAATGGTTCTTGACCTTGGAAACCAAGCTCATATTATGACCCGGGACACCTACGTGCTTCGTTGATAAAATAGATCCTAACACTTCTAATCCCCCCCTAAATTCCCTAACCCCCTTCTTGGACTGCCCATTTGGCAGCCCAAATCAGCGATCTAGAGGTGGGGGGGGGGGGCTTGGGTGGGTGGAGGGAGGGGTTATGGTGGGGTAAGAACCATCAATTTTACCAACGGAGCACCGTAGATGCCCTAGTCATAATGTGACCTCCTGGGTCGAAAGATCCTTGCCATATTATTATTCTTGGTTTGTAAAAAGTTACTATATTTAGTTAAGCTATCAATAGCTACAGTTAAGCTATTAATAGCAAAATTTAGTACATAAAAGTTCTATTTACTTGCTCATTAACACTATTGTCAAATGTCAATATTACACACATCCGTCCGATAACCACTTTCTCACTTTCCTTTTTGGACTCCCCAAAATGATTTCTCATTACTCTTAAAGAGAGAAATATGCGCTTCATATTTTTTCAATCTTTTTGACAATTTCTAACCACAATTTCATTCTTAAATATTGTGGTACATCCCGTGAGAGATGTGGTGAAGCTCTTTACAGTCTTTAGGGTGGTAGACAATCATATGTTGTATGATTTAGTACTTTTGTGTGGTTGTCAAGGACTCTGGTGTTTAATAAATTACTTACTCCCTCCATCCGAGAAAGACCCTTCCGAAATGCCCTTTTTCTATGTACGGGAAAGATCTTCTCAAACCTTTTTTAACAATTAAAATACCACAACTACCCTCACTTTAACATGGTGGATGGAGGGAGTACGATACTACCATGTTTGTAACTGACTTTGTTGTGCAACGCTGCAGCATGAAGCAATAGAACAACATTACCCCAGTGCCTCAACGGCTCTTGCCATTGCGGGGTAAGGGGGGTCGGATGTACGCAGTCTGACCCCTATGTTTAAAACATAGAGCGGCTGTTTCCAGATGACCCATGATGAGCGTCGAAAGTTGTGCATTGACCAATTGCTACTTCACAATTGCAGGAAGCACAGACTAGAGAGCCAATTCGCTTTATTCCATTATATCCCATAGCCAAAAAATTGTGAATCTTTGGTTCCACTGAATCAATCATGAGGCAAAATGTAGTTTATGATCCAAGGAGATAATTTGAATGAAACAACACTTCGGATATATATTTTTTGGGTGCGGGAGCGGGAATTATTACTTGTAGATACACTTTAAGCTGTACTAATTTTTTTCGCTGATATTCTTTGTCGTTTGATTTATGCTAGGATTCTGGTTTTCCATGTTTCAAAGGGGGCCCTAGAACGATACAGAACTTGAGGAAAAGATTTCATCTTAGTTTAACGGAGGAGGTCTGGTTTGATTTCTATGCTCTACAAACTTAATGCTTCTACATTGTTCTTTATGCTCACAATTGATTATTATCGTTATGGTGTCTCCAGCAATGTGTGTCCTTGGTGCTTTCTTTAATTAGCAGTAGCTTGGATGCATGGAGGACTCGTCAGTATGACTATTACCAGAGAGTCCTAAATGGGATACTATGAGGTCAATCTTGAGAATGTGTCTTTAGCTGATTGTGAGACATGATGGATGGAGGGGTTATCAGCATGTATCATGTTGCAAATTTGCAGACTGTGGTTTTATACTGATAGCTAAAAGATCATGTGTTGGCTGTTGCCATGCGGATAAGAAATGGTCAATTGGCATTCCAAGATTCAATTCATTTGCACCTGGATTCGGGTTGATACTGTACAGAATGAATGCTATAAAGGCGAACTGGAAAGGCAACAAGGCAATGGTTGGGATCGTTGTGATTTTTCTATACGTTCTGGCATGGAGATTTGGGTTTGTACATTTACTATATTCCCTATATATTGGGTTAAAAAAACAATACTCACTTCAGCTAAAAGCTTCTTAAGCAGCATAGGAATACGCCATGTGATCTTGGGTCTATAATTCTTGTGGCACATCCTTGATCAGTCAAGCTTTTAAGGAACGCTTGAAGTAACAGATGTGTATGTATATTATTATTGTCACTTGTTCATGTAGCTCAATTTCTTGAACAATGCTTTGTGCAATTGAAAATTACCCATTTCAACATGGGTGTGTATTCTTGGTAGACATGTAAACTGTTGTAAAGTTTGCATTAAGATAGGCCACATTTATTATGATACATGGTGATTTTTACCATTATTGTCCAATACAAAGTGTGCTATTACATCATATGTATCAGAGGTACTCCAATGAGGTGCTTAGCCGATGTACCCGAAATATATTATTTTATTATTTTAAAAGTGCATAAACAGAATATCAAATATCAAGTGAAGAAAGCTATTTCAGGTCCCTCCAATGGTCACTTGGTTCAAAAGCTACATCATTGTAGACTTGCCGTAAGTCGTATGCACTGTAAAAAGCTATCCTCGAAAGGTCTTGATCTTTTATCTTCAATTCTTTTGCTAGGTAACCAACTTTGATGTTGAGGTTTAACGGTGTTGTGTATACATCTTTTTGTGTCTTTTTGCCAATTTCAATGTTGTTGTAAAGGGATAATTTTGTAAAATTGATACTTGAATGATGGCCACATAAGGAGTGGTGAGTTTCATGCTTGCCTGTCATCAAATTTCATTTTGGAACAGTTGTAAATTAAACTTTTATATTATCCAAAATGTATCCCAAGTGCTATGATGTGGTTTTGAGTGATAAACTAAAGAATTTCGGGAGCTCAGCCCACGCCTTATAAAACATAGACCTAGAGACAAAGCTAGAACCAAGACTGCTGAGTTAAAACCATGAAATTGTATTTGAAATTCATATCAAAGTTTAGATTTTATGCTAGACATTTCAGGCTTTAAGAGTTTTTTCTTTTCGATTGGAATGCTAAAGTTGAATGTTGAAAGAAACGTTTAAGAGCTGAAAAAAGTTGGAGATGGGAAAATGTTAGAAAAATTAAAGTCTTAAAAAATCACTCAATTAAATAAATATGTACGAAAATTTCAATTTTGGATTAAAAATTTTATCTTTGTCCATGTTTGAGGTGGTATTTTATAAGTTTGAATATATACTGTTATTCATTTATAAATATTTTTTTAAATCATTGGAAGAAACTAGAAATGGTTGAAAAAGTTGGAAGTTAATTTTTTTAACTCAAAAGAACATGTTCTATGTCACTTATAATTTCTCTCATTCTTTTGTAAGGAAGAATTATTACCCTCGTTTGATCTACCATGCAGTGGAAAATAATTCTAGGAGTTATAATTGCTTCCTTGATTTCTCCCATTACTTCTATTATTATTTCTATCATTTGGGCCATCATTTCTCCAATTATTACCAAAGTTTCTTTGATTATTAAAATTATTGTTTATGTTACTTTGGCATTGATGATTTTCATTAGCCCAAAGTCCCTCATTCTTACATGTGTATTCCATGAGATTAACATAATGAGAGTTAATTTCATCTTCATAAGGACAAGCAGATGTTAAGTGTGAGTCCAATTTCCACATGGGCCAATTCGGAGTATGAGATGGAGGGGCATAAGAGTTATACGAAACTGAATTAACACTACCTTTAATTGCTTGAACTTGATTCTTCTCTAGGTTTTTATTTATTTTTATGGTTAATGTTTCAATTTGAGCTTTAAGTGCAATAGCCTCATCAACTTTGATTCTTCCTTGAGAGAAAGAGACTAGGGTACGATCATCATACCATTAATGAGAATTACAAGTAACTTATTGATCATTTCCTCATTCTCTTCAAGAGTAATTTCAAGAAAAGAACCACAAGAAGAAAAATAATTAAGCTCTTTTTTACTATCAAAATGAAACATTTAACTATATGAAACAATTAACGTGGGTGAACATTTAGTTCTTAACTCCTTAAAATGTTCCAATGCTTCATGAAGAGATTCTCCACCTCATTGGTGGACTTGTTGAATGGACATCCGAATTTGAGTTACTGCCGAGGGTGGAAAATAATCTTTCATGAAAGCTTAATGTAAATCATTCCTAGTAAAATGATTCGCTGGAAAATTATTTAGCAAACATGTGACTTTGTCTCGCAAAGAAAAAGGAAAAGACAAAGTCACACGGTATCCTTGTCTACCCATTAATATTAAAAATTGAACAAGTCCAGGTAAGAGAAAGAATATGAGCCTTAGGGTCTTCATGTTTAATGCCACCAAATAGATTACTAGAAATTGTTGAAAATATGGCGGGTATGATTTCGAAATAGGCAGTTGTAGTGGTAGGCGTGCCTATATCATCGTCTTCTTAAAAAATAGGGGTCACGGTATAAAGAAAAGTTCTCCTTGGTTTATTGTCCCCCAATTCTTGATTATTGTTTTGAGTTTGATTATTTAGAAGAATACAGTGAAACGCCCTGAAACCCCGCCTATCAGAATTAATTAATTAAAAATAGTTAATTAATCATTGAGGACCCGAAGTTCATTATAAATACTTGTTAGTAGATTATAAAAACTTTATCATTGTGTAGGGTTCAAAGAGACAAATCCGACGGTGCAAACGGATTGGAATTCAGAGCAAATTGGCCCAAAAAGTATATTTTCATCGAGGTACGTTAAGTAATTACGGAATACGAAACCCAAAGCCTATATAAATAACACCAATGTATGTGATCCTGCCTTAGCCACACAACTTATCATAACACTCTCTCGTTAAGAAGAAGAAGAAGAAGAAGACAACAGCCGCCACATCTCTGTCAGCGAAGATCTGAAATGAATCCGGCGCAAGCTTTCTAGTTAATTTTCGGAAGCTTACAGCATAAATTATCTTCTAGTCTAGCGTACAGCGTAAGTTTTTAGCTTCATTTTCTAGCCTCCATATGATAGGCCCATTTGGCAGTGACCCGACCCAATATTTTGGGCGGGAACACTGTTCCTTTTTCTCTCCTAACATTGCATATAGGAAGATTCTTATTTATAAAAATTACCACATAATGTGGAAATCTCCATTTCTTTCTTAAATTATTTCTTTTTCATAAACGATAGTTCCATCCATTGAAGTAAATTAATTCCAGTGCAATAGTAAATACAATTTTATTTTCCTTTTAAAATTAAATTATTAGCATTTAGATTATGCTAAAAACATAATCAGTCTATTTAAATGGCATAAGGATTATATAGAAGAGATTCCACGTAGATAAAAAAAGAACTCGGTGTCAAAAAAATTCCAAGGAAATGTTCCACATGCCAAATTCCGGTGACCATGTATGAAATATTATATTCAAGAGTAATTTCCCTAAAAGGTCCCTAGTTATAGGTCGTTTTACATATTTAGTCCCTACATATCAAATATTACTAATTTAGTCCTCAATTATTATATCATTTTTCACGAATGGTCCTTTGTTAACGTTTTTGTTAAGAACATGGATAAAATTGTATATTCATACTTCTCTCTCTCCTCAATTAAGCTTTCTCCCTCCTCTCGTACTCTTTCCCAAACTCGCCACTGAGTTTAAAGCTCTAAACCCAAAACTAAAATGATCATTCAAATCATCTCTCAATTATTAGTCTTCCTCGTGGAACCTAAAATCAAAATCTATAAGCTTTATGAATGAGTTTTTTATAAGTTAGTCTCAAGAAATTGCAAAGAAAATAAACATTAAAACTCATCCATGAAGGTTACTGGACCTTTGAAATTTACTCTCTATGAAACGATAGGAAAGGAATGATACTAGATCTAGGGATGAATATTAAAATAAGAAATGGATAGATGATGAGAGTAGACCTAGCAAAACAGAACCGGAACCGATTACCCGAATCGAAATATCCGGAACCAAAACCGAAATGAGCCGAAATATGAAGATCCGATCAAGAACCGAAAACCCGAAATGATCCGAATCGAACCGAAACCGATCTAAATAATTCATATCCAATTTAAATCCGAAACCGATAATATCTGAATCGATTAAATCCGAAACCGATTAGATCCGAAACCAATAATACCCGAAATCGATAAAACCCGAAACCAACTAGATCCGAAATCGATTAGATCCAAACCCGATTAGAACTAAAATCGATAAATTCAGAACTATGTTTGCCTTTCAATAAGCATATTATATTTTTAAATTTTTACTTCTATTTTACCATTTGAACTAATTACATTACTTGCTCATTCCCTCATAAAATGGATTATCTTCTTGAAAAAAGTACTAATTACATATAAATGATAATGCACAAACAAATAAAATTTCCGTGATTTTTAAATAGTAAAGTGTGATATTTTTTTTGGGATGAAAAGATTATATGATGAATTGTATAGAATAACTAGATTTTATCCTAATTTCATCTCATTACAATAAATTTTATTGATTTGAGAGTTCATTTGATTACTTTCAAACCAATTCACTCAATATTAGTCAATTAAATTAGATGCTAGTGTTAGCATTTTGAAAAGACTCTCTAGCAGCAACATTTAGTGATATCATTTTCAAATTTGATCTACACCATTACATTTAGGTGTAAAATTAGTTATATTTGACTCTATTAAATTTAATTTTATCTATTTTTAACCAAATACACTCAATAATTTATAAATTTTGCACTCAATTGAATAAAATTCACTTAATTTCACCCAATTTTACTCAATTTTTACCAAATTGTATTCAAATGGAACATAACACTATTTAAATTTATCTTATATCTTTTCATTTATAAACATAAGTATATTAGTAGATGTGAGAAAAATTTGATATATCAAAACTAAATTTTAAAATCAATTTAATTATATTAAATTTATATCATAATTAAATATATATGTTTTCATTATTTATAGTCCAAATTTGTAAAATATGACTAAAAAGTCAAAAAGGGGAGATTATTTAGGGTAGATATAATATAATTAGAAAAAAATATAAAATAATATGAGATATTGATTTGATGATAGATTGATAAATGTGATAAAACATAAAAAGAAACATGAATAGTTAAATTTTAATTAGAAAATAATACCCCCCCCCCCCCCCGTTCCACAAAACCCTTCCAGTTTTGACTTTGGGGAAAAATAAGGAAAGTGTAATTTTGGTTGACTTTCCAATTTTGCCCCTGATGTGATGGGAAAAAGTAAGATGTGATAGTTTGGTTATTAGTGATAAAGTATGATGTGATAGATAGGATATGAAAAAGTAGGGGTAAAAGTGGTTTTTTAATAGAAAGTGGAAGTGTTTTGTGGAAAGCAAAAAAACGAAAGAGGAAGGGTTTTGCGGAACGGAGGGAGTATATATCCAAAATATATTTGATCCGAAACCGAAATATATTCGAACCGAACTAGACCCGAAACTGAAATATATCCGACTCAAATTGTATCCGAACCGATTTGTAACCAAACCGACTCGAAACCGAACCAAACCAAAAAATGTATAAAATCGAATCAAATTCGAACCAAAATTTAACCAATCCGATCCGAACCAAATCGATTATAACATATAACCGAAATATATCCAAACCGAAAAATCCAACCCGAAACCGATCCAGTTGACTCGATTGCCACCCATGAGAGTGACCCAACTAAAACCGGGCACTTTATAAGAGTGCCCTAAAAAAAGGTTTCTCTTGTAAAAATGTCCAAAAAAGGTTTGATATTATGAGACTACCCTCTATCTACCCTCACTTAAAAGCACGAAAAATTACCATGTGAGATTCCCAAATTACCCCTATTCTTCGAAAGTTATTGTCGAAAGAATCTAATTACGTTCCACAGCCGTTTAACGATTTCCCCCCTTTTTTACCCGACCCAAAATTAACTATTTCAGTTTTCCCCTCCAGCTCCTCAATCGTACGCACACTACACATTTGCTCTGCAAATCGGCAACGTAATTTGACAGCAGAGCAAAACGCTAAGATTGGGGAACGCGTTTAGAAGCTATTGCGTAGCGTAGAAGGAGGAAAAAGAGCAGAAAGAGATTACGGTAAACCCTAATTTTCGATACCCCGAAATTTGATTACAAACCCTAATTTTTCTTTACACTAAAGAGTTACGGAGGAGTATTTTTCACGAAAAACTCTAATTGAGCCAATTGGGTTATGATTCTACATATCTTATGGTAAACCATACATATCTAAGATAGAAATAAACCCTACTCCGAAATAAACCCTATTCGAACATAGTCTGCAAAACCATACGAACATTTAGGGAATATTCGGACATGATTATGATGTTTTCGAATATTCGACGTTATTTCGATTGGTCTCGACTATTCGACGTTCTTTCGACGAATTTCAAATACACTTAAATGTGATATTTTATGTTGTTTACGTTTTTTCGATTGTAGATGGGTACAGATCCTGTTATATTATATGTTGTTTATGGTGGAAAGTGGACCACAGATCACGAAGGGAATTATGTTTACAGTGGATCCGGCAAGAAATCAAAGGCCAAAAATTGCATTTCAAATTAAACGGCTTGAAAAAAATATTCCACCCTTTTCCATCGATTCAAGTGAAACACTACATGTATTTCTTTTGGAATTAAAGCAAAACTTTACAGCCTTCCATGTTGAGATGGTTCCAGTTGAACGTGAAGAAAAAGAACAAGAAGAGCAAATACATGAAGTCCAAGAAGAACTCTTGGGATTGCAATCAGCAATTGACCCCTTCGTTCCCCTGATTGATTGCGTCCATGATGACTTCTTCAATTGTATGATTGTTGCTGATCAAGAATCTGGGCGTGATCATGAAGGTATTGTTTTTCAGAAAAATGCAGGGAGGTGTGATCAAAATCCTCAATTCGTTGAGTCTAATGCCACTCCTGTGAAGAGCCCAGCAACTGCTCAAGTGGATGAAGATGATTATATGGGTGGTGATAATGATGAGTTAAATGAGTACGAGTGCTTTATTTGGAGGGATGATCCTTCTTTTGATACGTCTTTTGGTAATGAGGTAGACGCGACATTGGATGGTGGCTTTGAAGATGGGTCGGATTTGGCCATCGGACTTGAGTTTGCTGACAAAAGAGAGTTGAAGAAGAAGATGGCTGATGTTTCCATATAAGGACATTTTGAAACAAAGACTGTGAAGAGCGACAAGAAGAGGTATGTGTTGAAATGCAAGGGTGACAAATGCTCTTGGATGATGATGGCATCCATCGTAAAAAACACATCTCGATGCGCTATTAAAAAATACAACGGGAGACATATTTGTACAGTTGGTGACCGTAGCCGAACACACAGCCAAACAACTTCTAGATATGTCTCAGATTTAATTTTAGAGAGTTTTGATGGGACGGATGATTTAATTGCTCCAAGTCAAGCATGCTTAACTTTGGAGTTTTTTTAGGTGATGAGCTCTCGAAAAGAAGATGCACCTTGTTGGTATGGGTAGTACTATCAATCCTTTTGAGCTCTTCCCATTCCCATCTTGATACGGGGTATTACATTCACCCCCACTTAGGAATGCAACGTCCTCGTTGCATCCTTTTTTTTGAACCCATAGATCTTCCCCGCTAGGTGAACTAAGCTCTTTTGGCCCGTCACGGTCGCAGGGTTGCTCTGATACCATTTGTAACACCCCGGCCCCCACCCTAGCCGTAAGTGTCCGCTCATAGGATTGTAGACTGGCCTCACAAACCAACACAAGTCTTTCCCGCACACTTTGTCCTCACTCGTGCGCGCCCAAGGAAAACTTCCCAGGGGGTCACCCATCCTAAAATTGCTCCAAGTCAAGCACGCTTAACTTTGGAGTTTCTAGGTGATGAGCTCTCGAAAAGAAAATGCACCTTGTTGGTATGAGTAGTACTATCAATCCTTTTGAGCTATTCACATTCCCATCTTGATACGGGGTATTACAACTTTCATGAAAAACAAGAGCATGCCGATCACATATGCAAAGGCTTGGTGGAGTAGGAAGTTCGCAAATGAAGCCATGTTTGGGATGCCCGAGACTAGTTACGAAAAGCTTCCATTATACTTGCACATGTTGAAGAAAGCAAATAATGATCTTGTAACAACCCACCTAGAACTTGATGAGGGGGGGGTGCTTTCAAGTATGTATTCATAGCATTTCATGCATGTATTTCTGGATTTCAAGCATTGAGTCATGTCATCGCCGTTGACGGAACATTTCTTAAGACATCCTATAAGGGTGTTTTACTCATTGCAACGGCTCAAGATGGTGACTTTCACCAATATCCCCTTGCCTGGGCTATTGTGGACTCTGAAAAAAATGACTCATACTCTTGGTTTTTTGGCCATTTAAGGAAGTTAATTCCTGATTCTGGAGACTTGGTGTTCATTTCGGACAGACACATTAGCATTCGAAATGGGATAAGAAAGCACTATTCGGCTGCGGATCATGGATTGTGTAGGTATCACATCACTTGTAATTTGAGGAAGCATTATCCAAAGATGTGCAAAAAGGGGTTGGATAAACTTTTTGAGAACCTTGCAAATGCATACACCAAACGGTCATTCAAGAGGTTGTATGGCGACTTGAAAGCAAGGTACCCAACTGCTGGCAATTACATTGACAAGATCCCAAAGAAAAGATGGGCCTGGGCGTATTTTGAAATAAACCGGTACCAAATCATGACGACAAATGGCGCCGAATCAATCAATAGCGTGTTGAGGGAGGACAGGGAACTTCCTATTGTTGCACTTTTAAAAGCAGTCCAGAACATGACATCAAGATGGCGTGGAAAAAGGCAACAAGAGTTAAGGTCTCTCAATGAGTCAAATCCCCCTGTTTGTTGTACCCCACCATGCATCACCAAAGGGTAAGCAAAATCAGGAGTTAATGCTTAATTGTTATAATCCTTATTGGGTTTAATTCATTCCTTCTTTCCATCAAAAAGCCCAAACCATAACCCTTGCTGCCCAAAACCCTCCCTAAGCCAAACCATAACCCACAAACCTACTCCCACAAACATCCAAAATCATTTTATCTGTCCAAATAAAGTCTTTGTTATTCATTACTAAGCCTAGGCCGAAGGTGAACAACAAAAGGCAGAATAAAACCTTTGTTTGTTTTAAAGTCATAATAATCGATTATCCAACATAAATAATCGACTATTACTTCCCTCTGAATTTTCCTAACGTATTCCTGCAATGCTCCATAATCGATTATCTCCCAATAGAAAATCGATTATC